TAATTTTGTTTAGAACCGTCGGTGTAGATATGAATCGTACCTGCCACTTCTGGCTCTTCTATTTGTTCTATTATAACTTTATATGGCTTATGGAAGATATATCTCGGTGAGATGGAGTTCATGTTCGCTTGACGCAGTGGGAGCGTATCGAGAGCCTCTTGTCAAAAGTGACGTCTCGCCTCACCAGATCCTACATTAGGTTCTATTCCAACCGTGCGAAGGCGTGTCATTGTCGTCAGAGCAACCTCCTTGATGTAGATATCAAGGGGAGTGAGACTAAGAATGACTTCCATGGCTCTGGTCGGTGTTGTTATCATGGCTCCTGTTATGTTGAGACATGCTGTTCTTTGAATTTGTTCTAGTTTACAGATAGCTGTTAATTTTTGTGTTTTCGGTACCCAAACAACTGCACCGTATGTTAGCATAGGTCTTATGATATTCGTGTATGTCCATGCGATGACTCTGCGAGAGAAACCCCAGGTGCGCTCCACGGTTCGGCGGCATTGTTCACAAGCAATGTATGTATTTTAACTATGTTTTCTAAATTTGAGTTCCATGTTAACTTGCTGTCAAAGGTAAGACCTAGGTACTTTACCTCTGTTGCAAAGTTTAGTTTTGTGTTTAGGAGTTCTGGTTTTAATTCCATTTTCATCCTTTTCCTTGTGAAAAGGACCATTTCTGTCTACTTAGGATTGATAGGCTGAATGGTCCTTGCACCACTGTTCTATAATTTTTACAGCTACTTGCATTTTTTCGCAGAGTATGTTCTCAAAATTCCCTGTTTGCACAATGACCAGGTCATCTGCATATGTTATTGTGTAGTGACTGTTATTATTGAGGCGGCTGATGAGGGTGTCGAGGACCATCTTCCACAGTAGAGGTAATAGCACCCCTCCCTGTGGGCATCCCCTCGCAACCAAGCCGCTTATATTTACATCTTCTACACTTGTTTACTGCTCGCTTTGAGAGCATGTTATGTATCCACCCACTAACCATTTGTTACAAAAAAATCGCCAGACAAAAACAGAGAGATGTATGAAGATCCTACTGCGAAGAAATCGAAGATTTTCCGCAGGCAGCGCAGCTTTAAAAAGCTCTCTCAAGAGATCCGCACTGAAGCATTGGTGAGCTAATCAAAGAGGATGGCCAATCTCGAAGATAGCATCAAACTTCTGCTGTCAACACACTTCCCTGACTCTGTCATCACAGACGTAGCCGACTGGGCAGAGGAAGAATACAATCCATCTGTTTATGATTGGCAAACTGCCAAACACATTGTAGAGGATGAAAAAATTAGATGGACAATTTCCAGCTTCTCTCCATTTAAAATCGCCAGGACCTGACGGTATCTATCCAGCCCTACTTCAGTGGGGTCTGGAAGAACTCACACCGCACCTGGTGGGTATATTCAAATCCTCATTGGCTCTGATATATATCCCAAAAAAAAAAATGGAGAGAGGTAAAAGTGGTATTTATACCCAAACTTGGAAGGATGTATTACACTGTCCCAAAAACATACCAACCAATTAGTCTGACATCGTTTTCCATGAAGACATTGGAAAGGCTATGCGAAAGGTACATAAGGGATGCGGTGATTACAACAACACCACTACATCCAAATCAACATACATACACCCCAGGCAGATCTACTGATTCAGCCCTTCATCTAGTTGCTGGTCGGATACTACTTTGACTATTACCACATCAAACATTGATTTATATTATAAGGAAAACAGCAGATATAGAAAATTATTTTCAACACTAACTTTAATTTTGTTTACTAAGAAGAACGTCATTCTTGGACCAATTTTGTCATTATTAAGATCCATCAGCAAATAATAGACATTCTCGATCCCAATGTCTAATGGAACCTCTAGATGCGTTGAATATCCTTTCCGCTCATGACCGGTGGTTGTGTGAGAACTCCCAAAGTCACGCCATCTCCACTTAATAAGAAAAATCAAAGCTCTATGTCAGTGGTCGCCAACCTCTCAATGTGTTGAACTACTTTGTTAATTTTGGAATAAACATTGAGCTACCCACACAGAAGCCACGTAACGCAACGTAAATGAAATAATCCACAGTTAATTTATCATTGTATGTATTTATTTTACTATTTAACTGGTAATACATAATACATAGGTACTAATAATAAACTAATAACAAAATAACTAATATTACTAGTACATACTTGTTCATAGCTACATTTCTACCTACCAAACGAAGGTGTTTGAAAAATAAACACAAACTTTTATCCAGCCACAACGGCATGTCACGTAAGATTTAAAAATAGTTAATAATAACAACAAAAAAGTAACGCACTATCATGAACATAAACATTGAAAAATAAAAAAAGCACATTCAATGAGAAGGCTGACACTCAGACTCATCGATAATTTTTTTAATGTTTGCAGTATAATTTGATACAGCCATTCGAATACAATTATCCAAATGTTCATCTGTAAGTCGATTGCGATATTTGTTCTTAATAAACTTCATATTGGAAAAAGAAGATTCACACAAATAGGTTGAACTGAATAATGCTTTCACTTTTAAGGTAACACGGCGTAGTACTGAATATTTTCTTTACTTATAATAGGCTAGATACATTTGGTACTTGAGACTAATGATTTTAAGGCTAAATCATTTTGAAACTCAATTACTTCCATTTCTGTTGCAGCGATGTCTTCGCCAAAGTTCTGCATAACACAAGTTGCAAACTGTTGGATATCAATTTCCATAAAGGGTGAAACAACAAACTGCGCTACTAAAGCCATTTCGTTGAAATCCTTAAAACGATTTTTGAAGTTATTCTTTAGGGTAGAAACCATTTCTACATGATATTTGCTGTCATAGGGTTCTAATGGATTTTGAGATATTTTTTCTGAAAGAATAGGAAAATGCTTGGCATCGCTGTTAATTAGGTTTTATTCCCAAAACTCCAGCTTTTTGATAAATGCTTTTATATCAGAAATCATTTCCTCTAGTTCTTTGTTTCTCCCTTGAAGCTGCAAATTAAGTTCGTTAAATTTCTCTGTAATGTCCACGAGAAAACCAAAATCTCTAAGCCAGATTGAATTTTCTAGTTCCGGAGTCGGTTCATCGCGTTGTTTGAAAAATTGAGCTATGCTAAATAGGACATCATTAAAACGTTTCCGCACCCGTCCTCTACTTAACCATCGGACTTCAGAGTGAAGGAGTAGGTCCCCGTATTGACAGTCAACTTCATCGGCCAAGCTTTTGAATAATCTTCTTTGTAACGCTTGAGCTCTAATCTTGTTCACAATTTTTACCACCAGTTTCATAACGTTGTTTAGTTTCAGGAAATTTCCACGTAATGCTTGCTGATGGATAATGCAGTGGTAACAGAGAAATTGCGGAAAAGTTTCATCTTTACGACATAACGCAACCAGACCCTTATCACAACCCACCATAGCTGGAGCGCCATCGGTTGTTAAGCCTACCATTTTCGATATTGGAGTTTTCTCGGAAGAAATAATATTTTTTAAATGAGGAAACAACTCCTGTCCAGTAGTGTGTCCTTTCAGTGGAATGTGGAATAAACTTCAAAAGATCTTCTTTAATCGTAAAATCACTAAAAACCATCCTGACGAACACGACCATCTGGGCAGTGTCAACGACATCTGTTGATTCATCCAGTTGAAGTGAAAAATAAACACAGTTATCTAAGTCAGTTCTTAACTGTAAAAAAATATCATTGCTCATTACTTCTACACGTCTCATCACTGTATTAGCAGAAAGTTGCATAGATTTTATAGCTGAAACTATCTCGTCTTTATTTCTAAAGTTGGCAAATAACGAATCAGCAGCTTCTAAAAACGCCTGTTTTATCATTTCCCCGTCTTCATAAGGTTTCTTTTTTTGTGCAATTATCTGGGACACACTACTATGCTTCAGTTGCAGCCTTATTTTTGTCGACTGTTCTTAAAAATATTGATTGTTTCCAATTAACTGCTTTTTTAACTGTTTCAGTTTTTCCTTTCTGGTGGCAGAATGTAGTGGGAATGATTTTTCAAAATTAGAATGTACAGTTTTATGATGTCTCTCAATATTTCCTTTTTTAGCAACGGAGACCGAAGTATTACATAACAAACACACATTTTTATCTTTAACTTCTGTAAAAAAGTATTGTTCATCCCATTCCGAATGAAAGTGGTATGTCTTTACCTTCTTACAACTGCTTGCCATAATATTATTTTTTGTTGTTCTCTACTAACCCAACCGCTGGACGTTGGTTACGCGTTCAGTTTTAAACTAAGCGCAATGTCGCCGCGCCGTGCGTATTTATCCCGTTCAAAGCGATCCTGATTGTTCTCGAACACTCGCGCTGGTCCGGCTGGTCGATTCTAGCCGATTCTAGCTTGATGGCGTCAGCGGCAGATCGCTCACCGCAACGTTGCCGCTGTTTATGTTTAATATTATGACAATTAGATTTTTTTGTGGAATTTTCGGAAGCTTCTCTGATTTTTGCAGTTTGTATTTTTTAAATTAAAATCTTTGTGAGAGCTACCAGAATTGCCTCCGCGAGCTACCGGTAGCTCGCGATCGACAGGTTGGCGACCACTGCTCTATGTGGTAACCAGTTCATAGAACAATGCGGAATAATCTGTCAGTCTGGCAATTAAACAAATAAAATAAATGTGAACAATTTAAAAAATAAAAATAAATGGAAACGTAAAAAACTCGAAGATCACCTAAACATTAAACGACCGTTTCCCTGCTGAAAACAACTACTTCTTTGGCTAATAAAGCAACAAGATTATTTTGTTATAGCATACTGTTATTTTGTGTATGGCACTTGATTATGATTGTTAATTACTAAGTTTAATTAAACAAACTAAAAATATGATTGTGAAATGTAAACTATTACAATAATATTTTAAAGTCTGCTATACTTATATATCATACATCCTATATACAAGTATATATTACCAGTAAATTTCCACCAATTTTATTTCGATTATCTTTTCAAACACTATCTCACTTCTGCGCAAGATAGTTCCCATCGATCCGCCCAAACCATTCCAGCTGTTTGTTTTTCCTACATTTTGTACATTTTATAAACCGAATTTCCAACATGTTTTCCCGAGTCGTGAAATACTTGATATTTTTTGCTGTGTTAATTGTTGATAGTGAATTAGATGTAAGAGTGAAACGCAACGATATCGATTTGCAAACGTGTATTAACAAATTCAACTTGCACAAGGACAAAATAATCAGAACGCAGGATTCCCAAAACATGGGGGCGAAGTATTTGAACGAGATTGACCTAGGTTCTAGGGAGGAATGTTTGCATTTGTGCTGTGAGACTGAAAACTGTGATGTATTTGTTTTTGAAGAGAAGGTGAGTGTGTTTTTTTATAAAAATTCATTATATTTATAACAAGGGACCGGCAACTTACATAATAAATAATCACTGATAAGTTATTATCAACGGATTTATACCCAGAAGCAGAGACTACATAAGTAGGTAAATAAAAGATTAAGAAAAATTTACAAATTAATGCACAAAATAAATAAAACAGACTATTAATTACAAAAGAAGTAAATCCTTAAAATAATTAATATTGGATTTTATGCCCAATATGTAGATACGATAGTTGACACGTGTCATAAAATGGCCATTTAATTAATGTTTATTCTTGGTATAGCATAATAAAATGTGTGTTTCCTGATTGAATTTGAGGTACATAAGTGTTAATTAAACTAACAAACAAAAAACAATCCATTTTATTGTCAAATATTGTATAAAAAAACACGCTGTTTCTTTACTAAAGGTTCCAAGTTAAATGTTTGTAGTAAGATTGCATGATCAAAACCTCCAGAAGGACCGTAACCGTAGTGAGTAGTTTCATATTACATGTACTTTAATAAGTATTTACAATGTACATATACAGGGTGAATCATAAGTTGATACTTTTTTAGCTGTATATAGAAGTCGTAAAAAATATTTTTTTAAAATTATTTTTTTTTTTAATTTAAAAACAAGCAAGATACATAATTAAAAATGTAAATCCTGGCTAAGGCTTGTGCATGAAAAGCTAAAGCTAAATAAGAAGTATGTTTATGTTTTATCTTTTTTGCCTTTTTTTCGGGGTTTTTTTATGAATCATGCTTCATTGTTTGCCGGTTATTGTAATTCAGTCGCGTGTGATATCAGTAGAGTTCAGTATGGTAAATTGTGACAACAATGAACTTGTGGATATGTTGCTTATTTATAGAGAGTACCAATTATTCAATCTGTAAAGCTATCAAACGATTAAAAAGTCCTCGTATATATAACCCACCAATCAGAAATAGAGACTTTAGCTGGGTCCGAAACAAATTGCCAAAGGCAAACAGATTTGCGGAACTTTTAAAAAGTACCTCCTAACCCAATAATAATTAAGATCTTCAAAACTGGCACAAGAAGTCACAGTCGTCAAACCTATCTCTCTAAAAGAAGTTTATATGGAAATCCAAACTAATATAAATCCGTAAAAAGCCCCTGGATTTTACCTCATTCTTGGGGTTATTTTAAAACTGCTTCTATGGAAAGCTATTGTCAGATTGACCAATCTTATTAATGCGTCCTTTAGACTAAAGTACGTACCACATATGTGGAAGGTGATAGAAGTTATGATGATACCTAATTAAGCCAGGTAAACTTGCCCATGAAGTTACATTGTATAGATCCATCTCCTTGTTACCTGTTATCTCGAAACTCTCTTAAGCGATTGATAGAAAAAAAGTTCGTAATACCCTTCCATCAGTTTGACTTCAGAGAAAAATACTCGACCATCGACCAAGTTCATAGAATCACAGATATCAGCCCCTAGAAGAACACAAGTTTGCTCCACCGTCTTTTTGGATGTCGCTCAGGCTTTCGGCAAACATGAAGGCATGATTTAAAAATTGAACATGTTCCTGACACGTCAATACTCTGAACTATTAAAATCCTACTTATCAGAAAGGTATTTCAGAATTAAACAGGAAAACGCCCATTCCGACCTAAGAGAAATTAAGCCAAGAGTACCTCAAGGTAGTACTAGATCCAGTACTCTACTTGTTGTATATCAGAGATATTTCTGATCTTGAGTGCAATACTATCGCAACATTTGCTGATGATACTGCAATTCTTGATGTTGGAAAAAATTATGAAGACGCTAATAGAACATTCAATAGACCAGATTAACACCTGGACGAAAAGATGACGAATAAAATTGAATTAAGGCAAATTTGTCCATATCAACTTAAGAAATAAAACAAAATGAATATATTCCTATTAGAATAAACGACACACATTTCTTTTACCAATTCCCGGTCTAAAAGAGTAATATATGTGTTAAGTGTTCTCTACAGTTTGATTATTTTCTTGTAGTCAGAAGTCACTTTTAAATCGTAAGTAATACTAATCATAGTTATAAGGTTAGTACCTACAACATATTACGTGGATGGTTCTTATAAATAAACAGATATTTGGCAACGTATATGGGTCCTTTTCAATAACTTTTTAATTTGGGTGATCTTAATGATCTAACCTATATCTCTCAAGACATTTAGCAACATTTTTGCAAAGATTTATAGTTTTGTACCTGGCTGACTATGACATAAACACAAATTCACAAATAATTTATGTCTTATACATTTTTTTGATTTTTAAACATGTAATTTAATATACATGCAATATATAATGTTTGTCGCTATTTTTAATAATCTGCCATATTTTAACTGTCAATATAAATGATAAAAGGCAACAAAAATCGACTATACATGTTACTAAATCTTGAATATTGGTTGCCATGCTGCGTGTACCCGATCTCCCTCACACCAACTTTAAGTTGAAAAAGTGACCATCAGGTGGCGGTATCTGCGAAAAAAATAGGTTTACTTTGTTGCTGGGCATTCATGTCAAGCACTAAGTGTGAAGGCAGTGATATTTTATTGCACGATTCTTCAATAAAATAGGTAAAATTTTGGCAGGTTTTTTTCTCTTCGGAGTTCCGTCCCATAGGATATTTATTTTACGAGAGCAAATAGCGTTTTCTAATTTAAATATTTTTAAAAAGTTTACCCTGTCCAATGTTTAAATTTCTAACCTCATTGTTTAACATAACACGTGCAAGAATTCTGAATATCTATATTAAGCTTATAGCCGGAGAGCCAGTAACACACATTTCATTAAGTGTTTGATGCACTTTGAAATTTTGTAATTTGAAATCATTTGGATGGAAAATCAGATATACCTGTGTTGGCTTGACCCACCCCGGGACACCAGGGAGTCGATTCTCGACTTGTAGGAATATTTTCCTATAGGAATATTTGACATTTTTATATACATCGAAAATTTATGACATTTTCCTACATATAGGAAAGTGTCACAAATTCCTATAGGAAAAGGTTCCTACAAGTCGAGAATCGACCCCCAGGTACTGCGCATAATAGAAAATATGTTGCGGTATTCATAATTATTTGTTTGCTTATTTTTTTTAATAAATGTTGAAATTTTTAAAAAATAGTGTATTTTCTTGCGTATTTTTCTTTACTTTTCATATTTCCGTCACATTATCATATCTCCGTCACTCTTTCATATTTCCGTCTCCTAATGTTTTAGTGAAATTGTAAGGCACGTACTGTTTAGAGTTATTTAACTGATTTATAAAATTTCTATATTTCAAGCATGTAACAATATAAAAAGGATACTAAACCGATAACTTTAGGTGAGATTTTCAAAATCACTTATAGTTATTATTAAAAGGTTATTGAAAAGGACCCATATAAACTGTAAGTGATTCTACTGGATTTAACCTTATCGGTTTTGCACAAAAGAGACTATTTATATTGTTTACATTTTTAATAGTCCGGGAGCCTAATGACAAATTTTCATTCGAATTCAAATAAACTGGTACAGTTCATCAAATTTCTAGAGGTGTTCGACGCCCAGACAGAGAACGCGCTACGTGTGACTAAGATAGCTATTGTACAGTCTGCTAAACAAGTTATTTTAAATAGTTTTTAATATTTTTAGGTAATTAAATTTTAAAAGTGTGGAATAGTTTAGGGATTAAATTGGTCTGATTGGACTTTCTTAGAACGTTTTTAAAAGCAGCTAAAGATAGTATGTAGAATTGAAAATAATTATTATGCCATAAAAGGTGTTTTGGAATTCCTTCAACCTTTTGAAATTGAGTCAGAAAATATAAATTTTATAGGATAGCGGAAAATACCTATAATTTTTTTGTAGGCCTTTGTAAATCGTGGAAATAGTTTATATTTTATTTCTACCTTATTAAGGAAAATGGTACCTATTATTAATAATGGTTGTTTCTGAAACATTACTAAAATTTTTTTTTTCTTATAATTTTATAAAAAATAACAGGGGAATATTTACATTTCTTGATCTATTAAACAAAACGATAAATTATCTCGACGAATGACACCATGTTCTAGTACGGAAGCTAGCTTTACATTTTTGTTGGTGGTAATTGTAGTTTACACGTACATATACCTCTTAACACTTGTTTGTTTTATTAAAAAAGTGTGTTGTTGTGATTTACGTCGAAATAAGTCAAAAACAACTTGAAACCCCATATAAAATCAAAAAGGAGAAACGAAAAAAAAAAATGAGCCTGTAAATGAACACAACTCAGAAACAAAAATAGCTATCTAATAATAAAAAAATAAAATTTGATTCTTGTGCAGCTTCATCTATATCATTAACTGTTTTTGATTTTTTAATGGTTTTTCTTGGTGATGAAAATTCCTATATCTCACGGTTATCGATTCTTTTTTTCTCTCCAGAAATGCGGACGACAGTGTTTTTAGATACTCCTGTGGCTGCAGCAACACGATCATTTACATTTTTAAATGGTATTGAAGGTGAATTAAAGTTTCCTTCTCTTCTTATAAACTCTATAACATTGGCTATTATTTCGCGAGATTGACTGTTAATCACGCGCCCTCTTAATTTGCTATTAAACTCCATACTTAGGTTCTATTAATCTGTAATGAGCAAAAAACACAAACGAAAATAAAAGAAATGTTTTAGCGAAATTTACATCTGGCATTTACGTCTGAATGAAATAGTGAAATACTTGATGCGCAGAGTGTACTTTCATTGCGTAAATCCGTCGGGATGCCTGTCAGTAGTGCTTTCTCTGTCTAGCCGTCGAAAGCCTCTAGAAATTTGATGAACTGTAAAAGTAATTTAAAAAATTAGCAACGTAGGTGATGTTCAAAAATGAAGGCCTGGTTGGATGTGAAGGCGCCTGAAATAAATGGTTCCATTACTCTTGCGTAGGATTCTCTAACGATGAGTTTTCCTTGTTCACAAAGAACAAGAACCTTTTTTTTTCTCAGCGATACTTGTAAAAGAATATGCTGATAATTTATCGTCTCTACAACAGGATATTTCAAATATAAAAGACTTTATTGAAAATGGTGTTAAATTTAAAGCTTCTGAAATTGAATCTTGGATGGATACGTTCAAAACTGATCTACTGACACTCTTTAAAAATAAATTTGCTCTAAACTGGCAGTATAAAAAGAATAATCAAATTTTAAAAGTTTATACTTAAAACAAGATCCTAAATAGATGCCTACCCCTCCGCCATGACGATTTCTATCTTTTCTAAAAAAAAAGAGTAACCAGGAGTACTAACCTCGGCATTGGAAAGTTCATCGGAAAGCCAAGTTTCTGATACTGCTAATATATAAAATTTATTGTCGCTAACAGTGGCCGACAAATCATTTATGCTAATTAATAAGGAGCGCGTATTAACATGCGCAATGTTTAACTTTGTATTCTGAAATTTATTATTAACCATAAATAATTTTAGATTTAAGACGTTGTAAGAAATTTATATAAACGGGACATGCTGTGTCATTAGCGGAGTGGCCAGTATCGCACTGGAGTTTATATTTATTATTAGAATCTATACAATTAATACATTTTTTGTCCTATAAAGTTCATGAACTGGTATCATGATTATTTGAGCATAGAATAAAATTGCTAATTGATTTTACCAATCAGAATTTAATAATCGTAAATGCTTTACTTCAGGCATTTATTAAAAAATATACATGTCGAGTGTCTTCGAAGTGCAGCTGCTGTATTTGTGTTGTACAATTACCGCTTTCCCTTGCAAACATAAATTTCATCTTAGACAAAAAAGACATTGAATAAAAAGAGACAAAATATGCAGCTTGACGGCACGGCAGGAGAAATGTTTACTGTTTGATTGTTTGCTGGACAAATGGCGTGTTAACTTGTTTCTATCAAAAGCATTTCATCTTATTCTTATTCGATCCTTATAAGATCTGAAAATTGACATTACCTTTCCTTCTTAGATCAACAAATAACTAGACTCTAACTTATATAAAGGAAAGCATTACTTACTAAATGGGTTTATAATAAAAATAAAAGTTTCACATCAGTTTTTATTCAATTATTGTTGATCAACTAAAATCGGTCAACTATAATAGACTCGTGGGAACAGACCTTTAGGTATATCTATTTCTCATTCACATAATTTCAAACTCAACAATAAATTATTAATTGATGTTATTTTTGCAGAACGCCGGCAGTTGTTATTTGTTTCACTGCGGTCCTCCAGAAGACTTCAAGTGCAAATTTACCCATCATGTGAATTACTCGAGCGCCATTCTTTCTATAAATAGGCATCTGCCCGATTTAGAAAGTCAAATCAAGCTCACCAAGCACGAACAGGATTTAACTAAACTCAGGTAATGTTTTAATTGATGCGTGTTGTAGGGTCATTTCTAACAAACTAGAAATTTTATGGATTGAGAAATAAAGTATATAGATACTTATTTGTTTGCTATAAAACCAGTGATTGCTGAGTGGGTCCCTATACCGGATGACAATGTGAGGAGGGCCATGTTAATATACCCTTTATTTATGAAGCAATTTAGATATTTACCGGAAATTACATAAACATTTATTGATTTATTGAATCACCCTGTATATTTTATAATGCCCAATTATTATTTTTCAAAATTATTTTTTATTTCTGAGGTATAAGGCAAGGCTATGAGCACTGGAAAAATAAGGTTATAAATCAAAAAGAAACAGAAGCTATATACTAACCTATATCTAACCATCATTTAAATAAAACGAAGATACTAACACGGCCCTAGTCTCATTGTCATCCGGTATGTGAATCCAAAATAAAGATAAATAACCTTTACAAAAAGTAACACTTCTGATCAATTCTGACAAAAGAATCTTCTTGTTGTTTGTTGTCATTCAAAGCAGGTAAAAAATTACTGTGAAAATCCTATGTTTGCTTATTTTAGTATTCTATAGTACCAGGAATAAAGGGCTAGGTGAAAGCTAAACTGGTCTAAGGAGGAAAATAACATTTTGGAGAAAAAGTGACAGAATGAGGTTTTTCTTATATTAAAATGATAATGTAATATACCAGGTCCCGATTGTGTACCCTCAGTATCGGACTGGCCCGGTCGGCAAGTCGGCAATTGCCGACGGGGCCCAACCCTTTTGGCGACCAACGGTCAAGCACTAGAGATAAATGAAACTACCATCATAAAAATGTTGTTTATAATAATTCAACGAAATCTAGGAAATCTCGCAACATTGGTGCGTCTAGACGTAGTCTAGGCTGCTGAGACGATTTGTTTAATAGAGATCGCCAAGCGCAAGTAATAGTAGACCTTGCGTTCTGCGTTAGGTAAGTTTGTTTAATAGAGAGTTGAAGTGATGCTATAAACGTAAACGTAAATGTGAAAATTGACAACTACGCATGCGCATTTAAATATCCTTCATGTTCACGTCTACGTACATACGTAAGCTTACAGGCTCTGGCGTATGTACGCAACGCAAACAAAATAACCTATTTTTAATTGCGAAAGAAAAAGTCCCACATACTTTGATTTTCTCTTACTATACGGAGAATGGTCACACGGCGCAGCTTTCTGAGTGCCTTTTAAAAGGAGATAGAAAACTCGGCCAGCTAAGGACGCATTGTCAAGAAAAGAAAAACATAAAGAGAGCCGTGGCCGAGGTAATTAATTAAATTTTTATTAGAAATGGCTGAAAGTACAGATTTTGACTCAAAAACATGCTCCGAGGCGCAGGCATTACTTGAAAATTTCTGCAAATATGAAACTCTTTTAATATCATTTATTATGATAAACATTTTTGAATACGTGACTCTCGCCTCAAATTATCTTCGGACAGAAGGTATGCGAAAGCAATGCTAAATGAAATATATGACAAATTTGATTTAATTGTTAAAAAGACGTTATATAAATCAAATTGAGACCATTAGAAACAAAGATATTGTAATTGAACATAAACTGCCAACACAAAGGTTTAGAAAAAGGAAACGTATGGTAGACAAAACAACTGAAGATTCCGTTATTACCAATCCAATGAAGAAATTTGAAGTTGAAGTATTTAAATCAGTTAATTAATCAGGCAATTCAAAGTAAAAGCCAGAGATTTAAAGCCAACAAACAAATTTATGAAGATTTTTCAGGCCTTGACCCCGGAAATTTTAAAAGCTTGGATTTATGAAGCGACTCCAACTTTACTGATATTGCAGAAAAGATTGGGATCGATAATGTGGAATTAAAAAATTAATTATTGAGTTTCACACAAATATACCCCGATAAAAAAAAATGTAAAAACCAAAGCTCCTCTTTTTACCTTTAAAACCCGGTCATACATTGCAAATAAACGCAGCGCGTGGCTATTTCGTAAATGAACCGACATGCGTTGCCTGGTGCTTTTTTGCCAGGCTGTATAGTTTATCCCTTTCATATTTACAAATAGTTTTTACCTATTATTCACTAATAGCAACAAGTTTTATTAATTAGAATAGTTTCGAGATATATTGCGACACATCAAGCGTCCACATCAATTCATTTTCGTACCTCGTGCATTGTGGACAGAGATGTTGCAATATTTCCCTAAATATTTCTAATAGTAAGTCTCTAAATAAAATGACTTGTAACCAAACAAAAAAACGTATAAAATGTGTTCAAAGTAGATTAAGCTATTTTAACTGCTTTCAGCAGACTTGATATTTTAGCAGCACCTGTTTTTACACCATTATGCAGGGCATTTTTGTACCTATCGTTTTTACATACATACGCTTGCTAAATAACAACTTTGCAAATACTAAGATAAACTATGGCAAACACCATTATTATTCCTGCAAATAAATGCAAGGATTTTAAAAGTGTTAAACGGGTTACCACCGCAATTTAAAATAACATTGTTTTATTCATATTATACGTCACGGAGACGTCACGTATAGTATTTTATCCATCGATAGTTTGCGACGTTGCGATCCAGTAAATTGTTGAATATTGGGTGTTTTTGTTAATCTTTAGACCTTTTTGGAAAAATTTCGGCTTTTGTATAGCTAACAACATGGTTCGTGAGTGCATTTTGTGCAAAAAAACTGGAAAATGTGGGTGCTGAAGTATCTTTTCATAAGTAAGTAAGGTTAGGTGATGATGTATTGCATAGTTCAGTGGTGTAGATTTAAAGATTTTTGCCGTAATATCACATATATTATATCTAGTTTTGTTTTACTATTAATTATTTTCTTTGATTTTTCAATGTTAATTTCGCAAAAAATGGTAATTAATTAAAACACTTTAGTCTGGACTATAGTAGTAAAATAAATAATCCTATGCTTGATTTTTAGTGAAAGGCATGCAAGAAATATTTGGCTATCACTTGTAGGACTATCAAGCCTGGATCACTGCCAAAACTAAGTCATTCATTGTTTCGAGAAAGCTCATTTAGATAACTAAAAACTTTCTTAATTATGTTTCGGAAATGTTCATTTGAGTGTTTATCCTTTAAAATGAAAGTTGGTAGTTTATCTTACACAGAAATTTTTATATTGTAAGTTCTTTAAATTTTGTAGGTGCTTAACAAGAACAAACTTTTTTATAAATTCATATTACATGCCTCTTTCTTTGATTATTATTAATCAAAATGTATACTTACCTTTACATTAAAAGTTCTGAATACTCTGTTACAGCTCTGATTCCAGTATCAGTATTTTTGACAGCCCTAGTAAAAAACCAGAAGATAGTTTATCTATGCCGCACATATTTACAAATAACCTATTTATGGATGATGATGATAATAAGTAAGTTAGTTTACTCCTGGTTTTACAAGTTAAAAACTTTATTGTTGTACAGTTCTACGTGTTTTCGGATTTTACAAAATTCTTATCGCCAGATCCGCTATAAGAAACGTTCCATTTAAAATCCCCACCTTCTATACAGGGTGTTTCCGAACTTGGCGTCCAAATTTGTAGGGCTGGTAGTTCGCATAATTAGAAACCGATTCGCAGATTTCATTTTTCCAAAATATTTAAAATAAAAATAATTAAAAATTAATTAAAAATTTTAAACAGGTACGGTCCTGCACAGCGATGGGATCGCCTCGAGCAATACGCACTAGAAAAACAATCGGCTAGTTATATATTGAGAATATAATAGACTCTTTTTATATATTATCTTTGATTAATAATCAGTTTAACTTTATAAATAGGAGTAGAACCTTATTATTGTTGTTATTTGTCTTTAGTTACTTGACTATAGTTATTTGTCTCTAGCTATTCGTTATTTGTCTATAGTTATTTGACTCTAGTTAGTTATTCGAAGTAGCTTTGTTCAGATATCCATTTAAGTGTATTTTATACTTAATAAAATTTAAAAAAATAAAAGTTCCATTTTGGAATTTATAACTGGCTACGTCTTTCGATACCGGCCGGGCGGAGGGAGAAATTTGCAAATCGCATCTGTTTTTGATTGTAAATACCTACTGATGAATAACCGATCAGGCAACTACTGCGGTATGCGCTCAGGATAGGACCAGCTTTTTGATTTTTTTTTTATAATGGCTCTATTTTGTTATTTATAATTTTTTAAGAAAAATGAAATTTGCCAATAGCTCTCAAATTATGCGAACTACCATCCCTACAAATTTGGACGCCAAGTTCGGAAACACCCTGTATAAGTATCGTTAATTTATTGATTTAATAACTTATATAAATTTATTAGTGTTAAAAATCTGAATTTTGATTTGTATAAAATAAATCTGGATTTATTTATCTTGTTTTTATTTTATTTATTTTATTTTATTTAACATCTTTATATGTAATAAATATTATATTATATTATTCTTTGAAAAAAAATAATGTTTTTAAGTTTTTTATCTACATTCCACTGAACTTCATACCCTTATTCCAAATCCAATCGGTTTTAAAGTTTAAAACATTGTAAAGTTTATTGCACACCATATAGGTTAGTATTTCATTATTAGTTATGATTTTATCTTTAATAAGATACGCCACTGGTATCGACAGACTTTTAGTTGCGTACAACAGCAGCGTTGCCAAACGAGATTTTCGATCACAGTCTCTCTTCTTTCAATCCGCATAAAATATCTTCTTTCTCTTTTCCGATAATTGGGACCAAACAAAACATACTTTATGAATGAAATACATCATATATTGTTTCTTTTATCTAAGGTAAAAACAGACCTCTGCATAAATAAGTCTGAAGCAAATGAATGTGTAGGTTACGTAAACCACAATATATCCCCTATAGTAGTGCATCTCACTTGTTAAAGAGTTGGCACTAAGTTTGCAGCGCAAAAATGCGTATGTGTCTGGCCGCTCAACTAACTCGATATGGCGGTGAATTCAAATATAATTTTAAGGCGAAATTTAAAT